CTCCTCCCTCGGCTCCCTGCCCTCCATCGGGGCTGCCCTCCTCCCTCGGCTCCTTGCCCTCCATCGGGGCTGCCCTCCTCCCTCGGCTCCTTGCCCTCCATTGGGGCTGCCCTCCTCCCTCAGCTCCTTGCCCTCCATCTGGGCTGCTCTCCTCCCTCAGCCTCACAGGGTGGTGTGGGTCTCTTGCTGGCTGCCTCTACCAGCACATCTGGCCAGTGCTTCCCTCCACTGAGACTGAGTCAGGCCTCCTGCCGTCGTACCAGTGGTGTGTATGTGGTGATGGGACATGGGCATAGGAGGGCAATCTCAACTCTCCTGGCTGATCTCTGGCTGAGTCTTTCATTTTTGTGTATAGAAAAGGTTCACGAGGAAATTGAAAGGGTCATTGGTCCTCACCGAGCACCGTCCCTCACTGACAAGGCCCAGATGCCCTACACAGAAGCCACCATCATGGAGGTGCAGAGGCTGACTGCGGTGGTGCCGCTCTCCATTCCTCATATGACCTCGGAGACAACAGGCAAGTCCAGGGTCTTCCTCCTTAGAACGCCCCAGAGGGAAGCACAGCCCTTAATCCAGAGGAGCTGAGGGGAGGGTGTGGTGACCACTGCCCAGCATGATCCTCTTGAGGGTTTAGCCTTGTGTCGTGGATAATCAAACATCCAGGGAACGTTTCGGCCCCCAGTCATCCCTTCTCCAGCACTGGCATTCCAGCACTGCGTGTTTTGTAAATAGCTCTCCAGCCTTCAGAGCACACACACTTACACTGGTCAACCACGTATGCCGCCATTTAAGGTGGCTGTACAGGCAGACAAAAATCTCTTCTCAGTCCTCTGCGTGGAGATCAGAAGAGCTAGTATAAATATGGAATTAAGGATTTTCACTGGGAATTATCCTACTTCAGTGTTTACAGTTCTGCAGCTGAAGCGTAAGTATTACAGAAGTAGAAGAGCCCACCTGACTGTAAGGGCACCTGTTTCAAACTCTCACCTACAGTGACATGTGTCCATCTGGTCATGTCCTTGACATACAGCCCCCCAGACTCTGTCAACATCCCTCAAAACAAGGAATTTACCTCCTATGCCGACAGCCCAGCATGTAATGAATGGGCTTTAATCTAGTTGTAGGACAGCTCTAGGAGGCAATCACTTATAAATGACATTGGATCACTTCACAGTGTCTTGGTGCAAATTAGAAACACTGTGTGTGCAATATCTTCTGGGCATTGTTTAAAGTGCATATTAACTAGTCAGCTGTAAGAGTCAGTACTGGCTTCCCTGTGCATCCCTTTACTTAGTCTGCCTTCCTCCTCATGTTATTATGTGGACATAAAAGACTCTCTAAACTATAAAGTTTTGTACAAGTTAGAAATTTGTAATTCTTTGGGAACGTTAACCTGCAATGCCCTGTGATTTCTGTTTTAGTGTTTTCTCTGTATTGTTTTTATGGTTTGATTTAATTCATTAACTCAGCATCCGTCAAAGCCCCTCCTGTGCCCTGTCTCAGCCTGGGTCCTGGGATGGTGTGGAGAGGGTGCCAGTTGATCAGGTCTTGTCCCTGCCCTCAGGTACCTCAAAGTTTAGTCTCAGGAAATTAAGGTGCTAGGTATGTGACTAGATATTTTTTCGATAGTGATATTTAGGGGGACTGTTGGTAAAAGCATGTTGCATGACACTGTGTTTTTGTTTCAGTGCTCCAAGGGTATACCATTCCTAAAGGCACAGTGGTCCTACCCAACTTGTGGTCAGTACACAGAGACCCAGCCATTTGGGAGAAACCGAATGAGTTCTATCCTAATCGATTTTTGGATGATCAAGGACAACTTATTAAAAAAGAATCCTTTATTCCTTTTGGGATAGGTCAGTTAAACTTTTATTTTTTTAATGACATAAAAAAAAGAAGTAGAACTAAAAGTATCTTTTATTATTTCATGATATTGTTTTAAAATGTTTCTTTCTTGGTAAGCTAATATAAGAGAAAATTTAGATAATGCATCTCCACTATGTTCATTTCAGGTTTTAAAAACAAAATGAAGGGTTAGGAGTGGGACTTCGCCTCCCGTGTGGGGCCTGCATTTCATGTGCAGCTTCAGCAACTCACCCCTGAATACTGGCTCTCTCCTGAGGCTGGACCAGCTGCCTTTACATCTAGGTACACTGGCTGAGTGCCACCAATTACACACATTAATGCAGTCAGCCAAGTCAGAGAAGCCTGTATTCCAGATGAAAATTCCCTAAGTCTGATGCATCTGTTTGTGTAAAAGAATTGCAACATCTTAAAGGTTCAGGAGGAGAGTGATGTCAGCATCTTGGCGGAGTGAGTTGTTCCCTTTGTCTCTCCCCTCTAAATTACAACCAAACAGACATCATTGACCAACAGAGGATTCCCTACACAGCAAAAGGACGCCTAAGAGATCAAGGCAGCTATACCTCTGAAGGTGGGTTGGACTGGACCCCTGGGAAGCAATGGAACTAGGGGAGCAGCCCCCAACCCCACTCCCAGCAGCAGTGATCCAGGGCGCCGATCCTCATGCAGTGGCCCATGTGACTGTTAGTGGAGGCGAGGGTAGCCCAGCCCTGTGTGCGTGAGCAATCCCAGGGCAGCCCTGCCCTGCAACAGTCGGAGGAGCAGTGGCAGTGATGGCAGTGGCAGCCCAACCCACACCACTGTGAGCAGAGGGGGTAGGAACACCCGACCCCCAGTGGCGGCACCCCTGACACCAACTCCACCAGCAGTGGGAGTTGCATACAAGTCCCTGGTCCCCCAGCGGCAAGAGCGACACCCATGAACCCAGCACCCCTGGCAGCGGTGCATCCAGCATCCCCAGATAACTGGCAAACAGCAGTGCAGGTGATGCATGGGACAACAGCATCTGAGCCTGCAGGGAGCCAGTGGAGGAACATGAGACCCAGGCGACCAGAACCAAAGTAATCAAAACCATACCCAAATAAGAAAAAGTGATTACTACCACAAATGTGCCATCAGAGGATCAATTCATCAAACAGCATGAAGAACTACAGTAACATGGCAGAACAGAAGGAAAATGACAACTCTCCAGAAACCAAACTTGACACAGAAGAAAGCAGTCTGAGAATTCAAAAGGGCTGTCATAAAGAAACTCAGTGAGTTACAAGAAAATTCGAAAGACAGTTCACTGAGCTCAGGAATAAAATTAATGAACTGAAGGAATACTTCACCAAAGAGATTGAACTAAACAAAAAAAACCCCAGAAATTCTAAACATGAAGAACACAATTAATGAGATAAAAAATAATGTAGAAAGCATTAAAATTAGAGCAGACATTATGGAGGAGAGAATTAGTGAGCTCGAAGATAGAAATCTAGAAATGATTCAGGTAAAGGAGGAGAGAGAACTAAGATTTTTTAAAAAATGAGGAAATTCTTTGAGAAATATCTGACTCACTTAGGAAAAGTAATATAAAGATTATAGGTATCCCAGAGGGAGAAGAGCAGGAGAAAGGAGCAGAGAGCTTATTCAAAGAAATAATAGCTGAGAACTTCCCAAACCTGGGGAACGAACTGGACATGCAAGTACATGAAGATAATAGAACTCTTAATTACATCAATCCAAAAAGATCTTCTCCACAGCATGCAATATTAAAACTGTCAGAAGTCAGTGACAAAAAAAAAATATTAAGGGCAGCAAAGCAGAAGAAAATAACCTACAAAGGAACCCACATCAGGCTTTCAGCAGATTTCTCAGCATAAACTTCACAGGCTAGGAGAGAATGGAATGATATATTCAAAATACTGAAAGACAAAAACTATCAGCCAAGAATACTGTTATCCAGTGAAATTATCATTCACATATGACAGAGAAATAAAAGCTTTCCCAAATAAACAAAAGCTGAGGGAGTTCATCGCCACTAGACCTGCCCTACAAGAAATATTGAAGGAGCTCTCCTATCTGAAACAAAAAGGCAAAGGTTTACAAAGATTTGAGCAAGGAGATAAATAGACAGACAAAATAAGAATATTGCAGCTTTATATAAGAATAGGTTAGCAAACAATTATAAAGGATAAAAAGAAAGAAAGCATCAAAAATAACTATAAACACTTCAATTTGGTCACAAACTCACAACAGCAATAAGAATAATTTGTGACAACAAAAATATACAAGGGGAAGAGGAAAGGAATGGAACCTGCATAGGCTAATGGAGATAAGAGGCTATCAGAAAAAGGACTATGTCATCTATGAGATCTTTTATACAAACCTCCTGGTAATCACAAAATAAAACAGAGCAGAGTCACAAATCATAAATAGAAAAAAAACCACCAAACTGAAATGGCAGACAGAAATACAATAAAAAAAGAAACAATGTAAATATAGAACAATGAGAAAATAAGAGATAAAATAGCAGTATTAAACCCTCATTTAATGCTATAGCATATTGCTATAGCAATAATCACTCTAAATGTAAATGGATTGAATTCACCAATCAAAAGACACAGAGTGGCTGGATGGATTAAAAACCAAGACCCAACAATGTGCTGCCTCCAGGAAACACATCTCAGCTCTAAAGACAAATATAGGCTTAGAGTGAAGGGATAGAATATGATTCACCAAGCAAATAGCAAGCAAAAGAAAGTGGGTGTAGCCATACTTATATCAGCCAATGGAGACTTCAAGATAAAAAAGATAAAGAGAGACAAGGATGGGATTTATATAATGATAAAAGGAACATTCCACCAAGAGAACATAACATTTATTAATATATATGCACCTAATACAGGAGCACCAAAATATGTAAAGCAACTATTAACAGACCTAAAGGGAGAAATTGACAACAACACAATAACAGTAGGGGACCTTAACACCCCACTGACATCAATGCACAGATCATCCAGACAGAAAGTCAACAAGGAAACAATGACCTTAAATGAAACACTAGACCAGATGGACTTAATAGATATATTTAGAACATTCCATCCAAAATAGCAGAATACACATTCTCCTCAAGTGCTCATGGAACATTCTCAAAGATAGACCATATGTTGGTAAATAAAGCAAGCCTCAATAAATTTAAGAAGATTGAAATCCTATCAAGCATCTTTTCTGACCACAATGCTATGAAATTACAAATCAACTACAAGAAAAAAGCTGGGAAAGTGACAAATATGTGGAGACTAAACAACATGCTATTGAACAACTATTGGATCAATGAAGAAATCAAAAAGTACCTGGAGACAGATGAAAATGAAAACACAACATACCAAAACCTATGGGATGCAGCAAAAATGGTACTAAGAGGGAAGTTTATAGCAATATAGGCCCAACCTAAGAAACAAGAAAAATCTCAATCTAACACTATACCTAAAAGCACTATAAAAAGAAGAACAAAGCCCAAAGTCAGTAGAAGGAAAAAAAAAATAAAAATCAGAACAGAAATAAATGAAATAGAGACTAAGAAAACAATAGAAAGGATCAATGAAACTAAGAGCTGGTTCTTTGAAAAGATAAATAAATTTGACAAATCATTACCCAGACTCACTAAGAAAAAAAAAGAAGGCTCAAATAAATAAAATCAGAAATTAAAGAGGAGAAATTACAATGGACACCATGGAAATACAAAGGATTATAAGAAAATACTAGGAAAAGCTATACACCAACAAAGTTGATAACCTAGAAGAAATGGGTAAATTCTTAGAATCATGTAACCTCCCAAAACTGAATCAAGAAGAAATAGAGAAAAAAAAAAAAAAGAAATAGAGAATCTGAATAGACCAATCACAAGTAAAGAGATTGAAACAGTAATCAAAAACCTCCCAAAAAACAAAAGTCCAGGATCACACAGCTTCTCTGGTGAATTCTACCAAACACTCAAAGAAAATTTAATTCTTATCCTTCTCAAATTATTCCAAAAGTTGAAGAGGATGGGATGCTTCCTAACTCACTTTATGAGGCTGACATTACCCTGCTACCAAAACGAGACAAGGACCACACAAAAAGGGAAAACTACAGGTCAATATTGCTGATGAACATAGATGCCAAAATCCTCAACAAAATATTAGCAAATTGAATACAACAATATGTTAAAAGGATCATACACCATGGTAAAGTGGGATTTATTTCAGGGATGCAGGTATGGTTCAACATCCTCATATCAATCAATGTGATATACCACATTAAAAAAATGAAGAATAAAAATCACATGATCATTTCAATAGATGCAGAGAAAGCATTTGACAAGATCTAACATCCATTTATTATAAAAACTCTCAATGAAATAGGTATGGAAGGAAAGTACCTCAACATAATAAAGCCCACATATGACAAACCCACAGCCAACATCGTATTTAATGGTGAAAAACTGAAAGCCATTCCTCTGAGAACAGGAACAAGACAAGGGTGCCCACACTTGCCACTCTTATTCAACATAGTACTGGAAGTTCTAGCCAGAGCAATTAGGCAAGAAAAAGAAATAAAAGGGATCCAAATTGGAAAGGAAGAAGTAAAACTCTCACTGGTTGCATATGACATGATTCTATATACAAAGAACCTAAAGAATCCACAATAAAACTATTAGAAATAATCAACAACTATAGCAAAGTTGCAAGGTACAAAGTCAACATACAAAAATCTGTTGCATTTCTATACACTAATAACAAAGTAGCAGAAAGAGAAGTCAAGAATAAAATACCATTTACAATTGCAACCAAAAGAATAAAATACCTAGGAATAAACTTAACCAAGGAGGTGAAAGACCTATACACAGAAAACAAACATTATTGAAAGAAATCAAAGAAGACATACAGAAATGTAAAGATATTCCATGCTGATGGACTGGAAGAATAAACATAGTTAAAATGTCCATATTACCTAAAGCAATCTACAGATTCAATGCAATCCCAATCAGAATCCCAGTCACATTCTTCATGGAGATAGAACAAAGAATCCTAAAATTTATATAGAATGACAAAAGACCCCGAATAGTCAAAGCAATCGTGAGGAAAAAGAACAAAGCTGGAGGTATCACACTCCCTGACCTCAAAATATACTACAAAGCTAATAATTAAAACAGCATGGTAGTGGTACAAAAACAGAAACACAGATCAATGGAACAGAATTGAAAGCCCAGAAATAAAACCACACATCTATGGACAGCTAATCTTTGACAAAGAGCCAAGACCATACAATGGAAAAAGGAAAGTCTCTTCAATAAATGGTGCTGGGAAAACTGGACAGCCACATGCAAAAGAATGAAAGTAGACCATTATCTTACACCATACACAAAAATTGACTCAAAATGGATTAAAGACTTGAATGTAAGATGTGAAACTATAAAACTCTCAGAAGAAAATATAGACAGTACACTCTTTGACATCGATCTTAGCAGCATCTTTTTGAATACCATGTCTGCTCAGGCAAGGGAAACAAAAGAAAAAAATAAGTGGGACTCTATCAGACTAGAAAACTTCTGCAAGGTGAAGGAAACCAATGAAACACAAGACAACCCACTAACTGGGAGAAAATATTTGCAAATCATATATCCAACAAGGGTTAATTTCCAAAATATATAAAGAACTCAAACAACTCAACAACAAAAAAATGAACAACCCCTTCAAAAAATGGGAAAAACAGACATTTTTCCAAAGAAGACATATATATGGCCAACAAGCACATGAAAAGATGTTCAACATCACTAATTATTAGGGAAATGCAAATTGAAACTATAATGAGATATCACCTCACACCTGTCAGAATGACTACAATTAACAACACAGGAAATAACAAATGTTGGCGAGGATGTAGAGAAAATCAAACCCTAATACAGTGCTGGTGGGAATGCAAACTGGTGCAGCGACTATGGAAGTAGTCGGAACAGTATGGAAGTATGGAACAGTATGGAGATTTCTCAAAAAATTAAAAATAGAACTACCATACAACCCAGCTATCCCACTATTGGGTATTTATCCAAAGAACAGGAGATCAACAATTCAAAGAGATTTATGCACCCCTTTGTTCATCGCAGCATTATGCACAATAGCCAAGTTGTAGAAGCAACCAAAGTGCCTATCAATGGATGAATAGATAAAGAAGATGTATATATATACAATGGAATACTACTCAGCTGTAAAAAAAAAAAAAACAAAAAAACATAATTTTGCCATTTGCGACAATATGGATAGACCTTGAGGGTATTATGCTAAGCAAAATAAGTCAGAGAAAGACAAATATCGTATGATTTCACTCATATGTGAAAGATAAATACATGGATAAGGAGAACAGATTAGTGGTTACCAGAAGGGAAGGGGATTGGGGGAGGGCGAAAGGAATAAAGTGGCATATATGTACAGTGATGGATAAAAGCCAGACTATTGGTGGTAAACACGATGCAGTCTACACAGAAACTGAAATATAATAATGTACACCTGGAATTTATGCAATGTTATAAGCCAATATGACCTCAATAAAAAAAAATGAAAGCAACTGATTTTAAATCCTTAAATATGAGTAGAAATCTCCCTTTCTGAGCTGCCCAGGTAACTGTTGGAGTTAAGAGCAGCTTCTGACCTTCTGCTGGGCTGTTGGGTGAGAGGGTGGGTTCTCTAATCTCACCAGTCCCTCTTTTAGATTCCGATATTAGGACACGTAGGATTCTTTCTATAGAAAAGGAACGCTCCATGGGCTGGCCCGGTGGCGCAGTGGTTAAGTTCTCACACTCCGCTTTGGTGGCCTGGGGTTCACGGGTTCAGATCTCAGGCATGGACCTACACACTGCTCGTCAAGCCATGCTGAGGCGGCATCCCACATACAAAATAGAGGAAGACTGACACAGATGTTAGCTCAGGGACAATCTTCCTCACCAAAAAAATAAAAAATAAAAATAAATAATGACTTTAAAAGAAAAACAGAAAGGAATGCTCCAAAGATTCTCATCTGACTTATTTTCTCCCTCACCTTCCAGGTAAGAGCAGGGAAAGAGAGCAGTAGGTATGGAGAGACAATGAGTCTGTCTCCAGTTCCTGTCTAGGAGGAGGATAGATTTTTATGAGTAGGACTTAAGTTTTGAACTTGGTATGTAAAAATTCTGATCAGAATATACTGTAGGAGGTCATGTGGTATATGTAGCAATTTTACTTTAAAACTGTATTTGAAACAGTTTAGATATTTCATATAAATTTGTCCTTTTTGACATAGGAAAAGGAATGGTATTATAATCCTTTTTTTCTGATCGCATTTTTAGGGAAGCGGGTGTGTATGGGAGAGCAACTGGCCAAGATGGAATTATTCCTCATGTTTGTGAGCCTAATCCAGAGTTTCAAGTTCGCTTTACCTAAGGATTCTCAGAAGCCCATCCTGACTGGAAGATACGGTCTCACGTTAGCCCCACATCCATTTGATATAATCATTTCTAAGAGATAAAGAACATCTCCAAGAGATGGTAAACAGAAGGTGAATGCATGTCCTTCTAAACAGCTTCTTCCTTCTGCAGTTGACAGCGGATCCGGGTTAGGCTCAGATTAGAGAGAGATGGGAAAGAGGGTGGAGTGTACGGGAGCTTTCATCTTGGAGGATTCCTCAGAGGATGCCTCAGCCACCACAGCATGTCTGTGACTTAGGGGGTGGGACCAGTGGGACCAAAGTACTGGACTGAGGAGCAGGGGATCTGGAGTTTGTTCCCAGTGGCCTGCCCCAGTGGGCATTTCTTCTCATTTCAGTGCCTCAGTCATTCCATGTGTGAAACAAGGGTAACACACCTTGCCCTCTGTGTCTCAGCACTAATGAAGTCCAATGCCACACATCCTTTCTGACTTCCCCGAAACACCGTCAAGTTCTGGAGAACAAATTCAGGAGTAGAAGGAAGACCTATCTGTTCATACTCGTGACAGCATGCAAGTGGTGTTCAGACTTGAATGCGTGGTCAGAGAAGGATGTGGTTTAGGTTATACGGAGTTAGAGCTTTTCTTGGCACAGATCCTATGTCGGTTTGGGGGCTTGTTTTGTTATTGTTATCTGTTTGTTTATGATTTTAGTTTTTGCTTTTTTGTAGACATGGGATTAAGTGAACCCTTGTTCAGTGTGTTGAGGAAAGATTATTGTCTGAATTTACATGTCCACCTTCCATTTCAAATACACGAACAGTGAGCCTGCTAAAGAAGTGGCTTCAGGGCACAATTCCTTTCTGCCGAGTTTACTTGCAAAGATGAAGCTCTGGCTTTCGACTTGAGCCCTGAATAGTGAGCTTGGGAATTTTGATACTGGGATTCATCAGGAAAGGATTCAGACTGTACTGAACATTCCTTTCCCATTCTGCCTGCCACCAGGCCCAAGGTATCTCATCCTTGAATGCTCTCAAAGACAAGAAGGCATTCTTATTCTAATTAAGAGAATTGAATTCCTTCTTAATAAAGAAGGTCCCTCTAAAAGAGCAGTTCTCAAAAAGGTAATGACTTCTCTCAGGGGGTGTTTGGAAATGTCTGGGTGTGTTTTTGGTTATCACAATGATGGGGGTGCTACTGGCCTTCTGCTGCCATGAGGCCAGGTTGCTAAATGTCTGAGCAGTCCTATACCATGAAGAATTGTCCTGCCCTGAAAACTGATGTTTCACCCAAGGAGAACATGGTCCAAAAATGACCAGCCCTTCCTTTATTGCCCCAACGTGCTCCTTAGATGTGTAATCATGATTGTCACACGAGCAACTTGACTTCTGAGCCTCGCCTCCTGCTGGCACCAGACTTAGCACTGTACTTGTATGCTGACCTAGTTCTTACAGAAGCTCTGTCCCGAGGATGCCGTGTGGTAGCTGAGGAGGCTGAGGCTTAGAGGAGTGAAGCCACACAGTTGAAAGGTACCATTGTTCGTTCACACCCACCCATCTTTGTGCCTGGAGAGTTCTTTCTGGTCCATTTCTCTGTACTGCCACCACTTGATCCCACGGCAGTCTACCCTCTGCATTTTCAGTATAGATAAAGGACATACAAGCTAATCTTCAGGTGCCTTGAGGATTTCTGTTAATTAGAAAAACTAATAAACGAAATGCCTAAGCACCGTGAGTCAGTAGAGAGGTTGCTGTCTAGATTTCGGATGAGATGATGTGTGGATCGCACTGCTCCTGGAGCAGGACAGTTTGTTCCTGATCTGGAATTTCATATGCTTTTGAATTGCACTAATAACTTTGCATTAGCGAGTTTATGACTCCTTCATTTATACGTGCATTTTCAGCATTACTACCAGTTTGTAGCCTACTTGAGAAGAAAACTGTTCTGTGAGATTATGTTGAAATCAGATGTTTATTAAACTCTTAAACAAGCCTTAAACTGTAGCACCTTAAAAACATCTTCATATGGTAAATCACTGAAAGAGCTGTTAACGCATTTGTCGCACATGTTGCTATTTTACGATTTTGTACTTCATGATTTATTTGAAATGTAAAAATAATAGTACTTTGTTTTAGAAGTCTACCTAATATCTAATTTTTAGTCTTCCTCATTAGCATAATTTTTGATGCTTTTATTAAACTTTTTATTTTAACTGAGATAGTGTTATGTCTGGTTTTTTGTTTTATTTTAATTGCTGAACAGAATTCTGTTTTACCAGATGTCAGGTTAGGAAATGGAAGAGGGAACAGACCTCCACAAAGAGAGGGATGGCCATGGTGCAGTATAACCACAGTCTTTAGACAGAAGAGTGATTCCTTTCAAACACGCTCGCAGAGCACAGTCACTCGCAGGACGGCCTCACAGCCCAGGGCTCTTACTTCCCCGTCAAAGTCCAGAATTGCCTGTAGGCAGGAGGAATCACACAAGCTCACTGTGGCAAAGTGTTGAGAGCTTGTCTCCGTTACACTTCTCAGCTCAGGAAGAAGAGTTTTTTAAATACCTGAACCTATGGACTTTACCTACAGATGAGCCCCTGCCTCCTTTTCCCGGCCCACTCTTCCTCCTGCAGGTCACAGCTCAGAGGTCACCTCCTCAGGGCGGCCTTTCCCGAGAACTCCCTGCTATGGACTGAACGTTTGTGTCCCCCTCGAATTCATTTATTGAAACCTAGTCCCCAGTGTGATGGTATTTGGAGGCGGGACCTTTGGGAGGTGATCATGTCATGGGAGTGGAGCCCCATGAATGGGAGTAGGGCCCTTAGAAAAGAGACCCCAGAGAGCTCCCTCGCCCCTCCTGCCATGTGAGAATGCAACGTGAAGACAGCCCCCCATGACCGGGAAGTAGGCTCTCGTCAGACACTCAATCTGCCGGCACCTTGATTTCAGACTTCCAGCCTCCAGGACTGTGAGAAGTCAATTTCTGTTATTTAAGATAGCCAGTCTGTGGTATTTTTGTTACAGCAGCCCGAAAGGGCTGAGACACTCCTTAATCCCGTCATCCAGCTGATTTCCTCCACTGCCCTCCTCACTTTCTACATTACCTGTTTATTTAAACCCTCAGTTTCCACCACCTCCTCCACCTCTGGCCAGAGGCGCCCAGTGATGCACAAGTTTTTAATTTTGATGAAGTCCAATTTGTCTAATTTTTTTAGTCTAAAATTATGATAGGCTAGGGTTTATAAGTTACAGAATTTTAGAGCTAAAAGGAAGTGTAGAGATGATGTAATTTAGTCTAACAGATGAGGAGATGGAGGGATCAGAAGTGAAATGACCAGCCCAAGGGCTCGTGGACCCAGAACTAGAACGTACATGTTCTGACACCTGGTCCGATTCACCATATGGACAAAGGAAAATGGGAGCAAATGCCAAATTTTAAGGACCTACCTAAAACCAAAGGTAGGATTCCTACTTCCTATTGTTTCCAGCAGCTAAGCTAAATGGTATTGTTTTCAAGTATTCACCTATTTTAAGCTATTCATTAAGAACTATGTTCAATGGCTAGTATATACCAAGCTCTGTTAAAAACTTTAAGATGAAGAATTTGGCCTAAATGAAAAGCTACGCTTGTAGTTCCTTCCCTGTACACTTTTAATAAAAGTAAAAAAAAAAAAAAAAGCCTAAGGAAAATTCTTTAAAAAGTGCTACCACCATCAGATTTTAAGCACTCTATAAACCGTGTTTTGAAAAGCTCTTTGCTGCTTGATTGCGGAAGAATAAAGATCTTCGCATTAAAAATCTTAAGAGTTACATCGGAAGTTAAAGATATTTTCTCTGGGGCCTGGGATCGGTTGAATACCCTTTAGCTGTATAAGTGGTACATTCTCTCTGCTCTGTGAGTGAGAAATGTAATTGTATGGAAAACAATGAGGCCTTGCTCCTTCCAGGTAATTCAAACAGAAACTCCTAGGGAGGAGAGCTCAGGCAGGTGGTGAGTGCTGCTGCCTCAGGTGTGTGGAGCTGGGCAGAAGACAGTGGGATAATGAGGACTGGACCAGGAGCGAGGCACACTTCAGTCCCAAGTTCTGCCCCTGCCAGCAACTGGCCAGATGACCTCTCTGGGCCTCAGTTGCCTCATCTGTCAAAGATTTGGAGAGATGCTCTCCCAGGTTTCTGCATAGCTTTCCTATTCCACCGTTACAGCCTCCCACATTGAGCATCTGGGTTGTGTCCATGAACTAATAACCTAATATCCCCTTTGTCCCCTCTGCAGCTCCCAGGTGGAGGGAGTTGGGACATCACTGGACATCTGTCTCCTCCCTGCTTTTCTGCTCCTCGTCTACAGTGGCATATCCAGGAGTAAATACAGATGAGGGAAGGAGGACTGAACTGGAAAACGGCACCTGGAGCAAAGCCCTGGTTCTGCAACCGCCTTCTCTGTGTAACCTTTGGCGAGCACTCAACTTCTTTGGGCCTTGATATCCCCTGCTATCGCAGAATAAAATTCAACTAGGTCAGTGGTTCAACTCTGGCCGTATTTTATTTTATTTATTTATTTATTTATTTATTTATTTATTTATTTATTTATTTATTTATTTATTTATTTATTTATTATTTGTGAGGAAGATCAGCCCTGAGCTAACATCCATGCTAATCCTCCTCTTTTTGCTGAGGAAGACCGGCCCTGAGCTAACATCTATTGCCAATCCTCCCCCTTTTTGCCCCAAAGCCCCAGTAGATAGTTGTATGTCATAGTTGCACATCCTTATAGTTGCTGTATGTGGGAACGTGGCCTCAGCATGGCCGGAGAAGCGGTGCGTTGATACGCGCCCGGGATCCAAACCCGAGCCGCCAGTAGCAGAGCGCACACACTTAACCTCTAAGCCACGGTTTTTTTGTGTGTGTGTGTGAGGAAGATCAGCCTTGTGCTAACATCTGCCAATCCTCCTCTCTTTTTGCTGAGGAAGACTGGCCCTGGGCTAACATCCGTGCCCATCTTCCTCCACTTTATATGGGACGCTGCCACAGCATGGCTTGCCAAGCTGTGTGTATGCGCGCCCGGGATCCGAACCAGCGAATCCGGGCCGCCACAGCAGAGCGCGCGCACTTAACCACTTGCGCCACCAGCTCTGGCCGTATTTTAGACTCACCAGGGAGCTTGATAAAAATACTGATGCCCAGGCTCCACCCTAGACCAATTA